TTGTGGAAAAATGTTTTATGGAATGATGAAGAAAATGAGGATGAATGCATACAAAGAATGATTATTGCAAAAAATGAGAATGAGGGAAAGATTCTATGTATTATATGGATGGAGAAAAAAAGTGCAAAGACTGTAAACAGATCGACAAAAGATAGATCATATTTAAAGAAGAGAAAATGCAGCCTGATTCAGGTGTGACTAAAAATATGATTCAGATGTACTGTAAGTAAAAAGGATTTTAAGATTTATTTTAGAGCACTAAGCAAGAAGCGTCCAGCAGAGTAAATGAAACTGAAAATAAAAATGTTGAAATGATTTGAAATAAATCTTAGGGGAGAGAATGCTGAAGAAGTATTTTAGAGATTTATACTGAAATGATAGTGATACATCAGAGTAGAATTGAAGAAACCACTAAGAATTTTAGTACTCGGGGGTGGGGAATGGATAAAATGGGGAAAAATATTATGAGAACATAAAAATATTAAACAATGTTAAGGCACTTTCTAATATAAACTTTTATTTATTATGAATGCTTTTATGTAGCTTCAGTCATCCAGCTCCACACATATACTATATACTTACACTATACATAATACTGGAATAACTAAAACTCTCTATAGTATGGATAGATAAATAGTATATAATACAGCATATGTTAAAAGTATACTTTGACCTTCCTTATAAAGGTTGAAAAAAGTTTAGTCATTTTTTCAAACTTGAGATTTAAACTGAATCTGGTGTTAAGAGGCTAATCACTATTTTACATTTTGAACAATATCAGTTTTGCTATATTTATTGTATGGAGCTTTGCTCTATAACTGTGAACATAAACAAACAGATATGTTGCAAGATCCAATCTGGGTCAGTCACCAGGACCAGAGCTTTAGTCTTCCAAGCTTTCAGACTTGTGCTGGAGCCAATGGTGCACCTCCAGTCCCACTGACCGATCCAGATTGGATCATGCAACATTATCCTGGAATGTATATTTGCCTTCATTCAAAACATCTCTGTCCAGTAAGAATATCATTACTGTTCTCCATACAGATGGAAAAGTAGCAAGAATGACTGATTAAGCTACAAGGATTTATCTCACATGCCTGGAAGGTGATTTGTAAATTTCTGATTGAAGCATTCAAGAGGTAATGCTGAACACAATTTTAAAAATGCAATGTCACTGTATTCCAGGCAGCAATACACAGACCATTTTTTTGGTCTTCCACAGACCCCAAGAGATTGAGTATTAGAATATGCACCATGCTTATTGCTGCATATCCCACAAAGGCAAAGCATCATGGGTATGTTTATAAGTGTCCATGTTTACAAGTATATTAATTTCTATCCAAATTCGCGTCATATTTTTGTGAAGATTTATTCTTTTTGAACCACTTTAGTATGTGATTATCATATGGATATCCATTGGATTTTTGGCATTTAATATTCTTTTGGCTAATACTAGACCTAGAAGTCATGAGGCAATGATTTAAGAATGCAGCAACCATAATCTACAACTGTTAGTCCCAGATGATCACATTATATAAAAATATATGTGGTACTAACAAGATTGATTCCAAACAATTGCTGGTACTAATAGAGGGACTATTAGTACCAGCAATCTGTAGACAATGATGCTAGATACATAAGACTTTCTTTGTTTGTGTGAAAAAAATATAATTAAATATTACTTACTAATTTGGGAAATTGGAGACATTTTTAATATGCTAATGATTGGTTCAAGATTCAACTTGCCCAGAGTCAGGAATTTAGTCATATTTCAAAACAGAGCCATACTTGCAGATGGCTACCAGGTAAATATAAATTTTATATAAAATGCAGATAAAAATTCCATTACATATTTTGTTTATGTTATCTAATATATTATGTGTGCAGAAGGTATTCATGGGAACATACATGTACAGATGCATACTCACTATTTTGGCAGTATTTATAGCTTTGGTCCTCTAAAAATAATATTAGTATTTTCTTTTGTTATAGATCTTTTACCCATTCGTATCAAACTTTTCAAAAATAAAAGAACTGCAGCTAAATTTAGAGAGGATAGAAACTCTATGTAGGCATAAATGATATTGGCCCTAATAAAATGAATAAAGCCTGGAATTCTGTCCCTACGATAACTTTAGATATGCAAATAACTTTAGTAAAGTAGCTATTTTTTACGGCATGGCCAAGTCATGGAATTGGATATGAGATTAAGGAGTAAGAGAGAATGGTTCCTGTCATTGGGGCAAACATTCAGTATGTTTCTCTTCATTGTGATTCCAAAATGATGCAAACACATACACACACACACACACACAAATAAACAAACAAAAGAAGTACATTCTACTTGCAATTATGTTAATGTTATCATTCTGAAACTGTGCTAAAATATTCATTTCTGACTATAGAAGTAGCTGTACTTAGTTCTTGTTCTTTGGAACTATGACTATATATTTCCTTTACCAGTAAGTAAGTGTAGCTAGTCAATTCATTAGAGAGAATGACTCAATGAGTATTGGAGCTGGCTTTTTTTATACAAATTCCATTAATTAGGCTGATATTAACCTATTACTATATATTAGCTGATGCTTCTGTATTTGGTTTGTAAGAATGGAAGGCTAGATTGTTGAGATATTTATGTCTGTGACTTTTTATTTATTTTAGCTCACTTCCTATCTCAGTTAAAGTCTTTGTTTTTCCTCCCAACAGCTCATAACATTTTTCATGCCATCAACTTGCCTGGTCATTATTTAATCTTGCTGGTCTCTATTTTTTTCATTCTGTGTGATCTGGCTCCTTACACATTTGTTGTTCTCTAAGTCCTGAGTAGATGGAGGAAAGCATCTCATACAACAGTGACAAAGAAAAAAAAATGTTGCCTTAAAAAAATAAATCTGGTGCATTTTTCCAGGACTATTATGCTTTTATCAAGATTAAAAAAGGAGGCAACAATGCAGCTACCTTTAATATGTGAAATTGCCATTGCAATAAGCTTGACAATCAAATTGTGTCTGATGAATGACAAAACATTTATCCAACATTCATTCATTTTATCTAATAAAGAAATACTAAGGAATCTTATTGGTATAAGAAACATCATTTTTGATTTTGAAATGAAGTGCTTCACTTTTGAAGCTTTACTGTCCTTCATTGCTGAATATCTCTCCATACCAGAAAGAGAAGTTAGGGAGAAGTAAGAAAATTAGGGAAAAGAAAAAGAGGTCCTAGGAACAGAATCACCAATTTGGAACTGTGCTGATAATAGTTGTCAGTTTTATGATAATAAAGAATTTATATTCATGTTTTTTCCTGGTGACATGAGTGAATCACTGAAATAGAAGTGTCTATTTGTAATTGTCTGTTCCTGTACTAGATCCAGGGTGGTATAAAGTTGTGCATTGCATGGACATAACCTGAATATGGGGAAAATTGCAATTAATTACCACTAACATCAACCTGACCCACCAGAACAGCAGTGCAGGTTATGTTACAGGTCCCCTCTATTGAGGAAGTCCATCTACTGGGACCAAGAAGAAGGGCCTTCTCCCAGTAGAACATCATCCCGATAAAGATAAGGTTTATCCCCATCTTTTGAAAGGCCCTGAAGACATGATTTTGCCAGTGAGCCTAGGGACCCCAAGGTGATACAGAACCCATCAAGTTGTTTGTTTGATTGTTGTCAGCAGGGGGACAGGTTTTAATGGGTTTTGTATTTGGAGTTTTACTTTGTAAGCTACTTAGAATCACTGTGAGTTGATCGACCATACATTTTTTTCTTAATAAATAAATAAAATAATTTTTTAAAAATATAGAGTCCTTCACGTATGACCATAAGGTAAGCTGCTTATCATGGTCATAAGTTATGATAGTCGTAAATCATGCCACCTACATGACTGGCCTATTTTATGACCTTTTTTTGCACAGGTCATTAACTGAATGCCACAGTAGTTAAGCAAACCACTGGTTTGCCTCAGGCTGTAAGAAAATGCCAGGTTTTGACAATAACATTATTGTAAGCACAGCAAGTGACTGAGAGTCATTGCAAATAGCCGTAAATGTTGGTCAGTTGTCAAGTGACTTGACAGGTGGCTATATAACTACTGGGGGGGGGGCTATTTGGAACTTTGGAACTCAGTTGTAAGTACCTTGAACATTTGCTAAGTGAATAGCCATAAGTCAAGAATTGTCTGTATTCTCATGTGATATTCTTATATTCCCTCAGATGGCTCTATCCTCTTTGGATATATGTTCCCTGGTGGAACAGCTCCATTCACAATGTCTCTCAGACAATTCCACTAGCATAGTCTTCAGAGGGATAAATGGGTTATGAAACTTCTACCAGATGCTTAATTAGTAAAACAAGAGTACAGCACTGAGCTGTTCCAAAAGGATCAAGAATGTTCCAAAAAGATCAAGAATGTTGCCACAACAATAAAAAGGCTTGCAAAGAAGCCAAGACAGTGGTAATGGAAATTGAAATCCATTCTATTGCTAGCTACATTTATTTCCATAATAACATAAAGTACAATCTTCCTCAAGTCCATTTCAAGTGCTAATGGCTTCATGGAGCCTTCTCAAATTTTGCTTTCTTGGATATTTTTCAATGTCCTAATACAGCCAACATACCTGAATTTCCTCCATCCACATAACCACGGGCAACTTTGCTTAGTTTCCAAGATCAGCTAGATGCTACAGCCTCTTGTGGCATTGTGGGCTTTTCCCCACCTTTCTGTAACCATGACAGAACTGTGCTCGGATAACACTTTTTTTTCTGATGCATCCTTATAATGTTGGCTTTATCCCATCAACAGCCCATAGGTGACACACTTTAAGGCGTCCTTCACTATACCAGTGTTAAATTTGCATTTTCCCTTGGACAGTGTCCAAAGTTTGCCTTAAGGTGTGTAAAATGCTTGGAGGAAGGTCAAGTGACTCAAGTGACTGGGAACAGGGGCAGAAAAGGGTGGGGACAGCAAACAGCATGCAGCATAGTTTTCTGCCTACTCGGTGTGTGGATAGCAGTTCAAACCAGGCAGTGGAGAAAGACTGGGACTCTTTCTTTCGCTTTCCCTGTCGGCGTTTATATACTGCAATTGTCTGTCTGGTCCTGCTTGATTTCGTTGTCCTCTTTCTCCGGGCTCCTCCACTTTCCCCGTCCCCTGACAAGGACTCACATAGAAGGCGTGTCCTCTCGGGGCGGTTACTGCCGCTGCGGAAGGCAGCTTAAAGCTATAAAAGAAGTGATCCAGTGCCGGTTTGAGCTGCATTTCCCGCCTCTGCTTTTCTCCGAAGGACTCGGAGCCGGTGCCGAATAAAACAGCTGGAGCGCCGCCCGCGGTGCCTGGGGGCGAAGAGAGGGCCAGGGCACGGCAAAGCCATAGAGGGCGCTAGGCAAGGCTCAATGCGTGGTCTAGCTGCCTTTGCAACATGCTGGAACTACAGATCAGCTAAAAGGAGTTTGCACACGACTGTTGGAGCTGGATTGCAGCGCTCTCTTTCCTTATGAAGAAGACACAAGTGAGTACCCAGTGAAGATGTTTTACATCCTGGCAGGGATTTGGTGGTGCTCGTGAATGGTGGTGGGAAGGATACCTGGATAGACTTATACAAGGCGTGCAGGCGGGCGGGATGTGCGCTCCGCGGGGAAGGATGAAGGCACCGATTGTCCAGGCAAGTGGAAGTTTGGCGGAGAGAAAAGAGCGGGTTGTCTTCGATAAGAGCCGGGCGAGAGATCACCTTCTAGCTGGTGGGTTGCCTTATAGCGACGAGGCTGTCGAGTTTCTTGCAGAAGCGCCGCTAACTTTTCTTCTCCTCTTGTGCGTGGATTTGGGTGGCGAAGGGTTGCAAACCTCCTTGAACCACCCACACGCTTCTATTCCACAGGATCATTCTGATTAGGGGGCAGGTAGGTAAAGGAGGGGGTGTTCTGGTGACGACGGCCCACTCTATGGCAGAGGGCAAAAGCATTCTTAAGGCCATTCTTAAGGGGCTGGTGATGGTTTGTCAAATCCCTCCTTTCCTTCCCTGTGAATACCTGATTGTTTCCACCTGATCGGATTCTAAATAACAAATAATTCTTTACAGATAGGATGAATCGTGCAAATATTAGATCCATAGGTAAATTGAAATTGCTCAACACCAGCCAGAACTAAGGGGTAGAAACTATTGCTTCTTTTAATAAATCATACAAAGAGTGCCTGTTTGGGGTACCCTTTCCTCTTTGCTTTTATCTATCATTGACCCCCCCCCCCTTTTCCATTCCATATCTAACCCACTCCTTTCCCTACAAGCTGTATTTTGTGCCATAATTTCTTTCCATAACAGGACTGGTTATAGAGTAGGAGAGGAGTAGAAATTGAAAGAAGATTGCCTGGAATAACAAGGAATTGCTGACAAGAGTGAACTAAATGTGTTTGGGACCCTAAAAGAATATTTAACCAGTCTCCCTTGCAATAGATAGATGATAAATCGATAGATAATAGATATATGGAGTCTCCCAGTGTTGTTGCCTTGCCAGTTTTAATACAGCAAAGCCTTTTTCATCCCTCCCTTTCATCCCAATGTTTTCCTAGCTACTTTCTTTGGAATCTCCTGCTGTCTTGGCTCATAAGCTATTTTGGGTCTTCCAGATAATAAGCAAGAAATGAAGGGATTCAGGCAAGGAGATCTAGGTGGGATCTCCTTGCTTGAATTTATTCGGTGTCATTTATACAGAAACAATGAAATTAGATTGTTTAATGGGAAAAGTTGTGAAACAAAGTTCCTATATTTTGGGATCAGTGAGGTGTACAGAAGTATTAATATAGCTTTCTCATAATTTGAGATCTTGCTATATCTGGAATTTTAAGATGTAATAGCTCAGGTAGGTTGAAGAACACCATATCAGAGTCCTGAGGGGGAAAATTGCTTTGTGTAGTCAATCTATATTTCGTACAAATTATAGTACTGGCAGTTGCTACTTAATTTTGCTTAGTTTGTGTATGCTAATGTCTGCTCAGAATGGAAAGTACGAACTTGATTGGAGAAAATTCTGAAGTCTGTAACGGTATGATGGAAAGGGTTTCTTAAAAAGGCAAAAAAAAGTTACTTAAAAAGGAAGGTGAATAGAGTTCAGTTTGCAAGCTATTGAGTTTCACCCTACAGTTCCATTTTGCACATGTAAATATGACTTTGAAAGTTACCCGCTGCAGAGCAGATTACTGAAGCTGAAATACTGATTTTACCCTAAAAACTGATGCAGTGGTCTTTGGTGGGTTCAAGAGTTCTTTTCTGTGGCTTATGAATCACCTTCTGACCTACCAGTTTTCTTCTAGTCAGAATTCAGAGATGTAATTAAACAGAGAACTTTTTTTTTTAGGAAAGAAAGATGTATAGTTGCAGACAAATTTCTCTGATCTTTCTATATTGTGTTAGCTGATGGGAAAAAAGGTGGGGAAAAATGTCAGGTTTAATGCACTTTCAGAAGTTAAAATACAAGAAACCAAGATAATGGTTTATAACAAGATAACATTTCACATTTAAGACAAGTGGAAACAATCCTGTCAACAGTGTATTTCTCATTGTTCTTTTCCTATGATGCACTGTGATTGTGCAGTATGGGTTTAGGTTGTCATCAGGTTGTGACTATATCAGGATCTCTTCAGCCTTTGAGGAAATAGTCACTGCTCCATGCTACCTTAGCCATTGTTTTGTACCTTTCAATCTACTCTATTGTTCAGACTTCTGTACTGCTGAAAGCTGGGGGGTGGTGGCGGTGGTAGTAAGGGTGGAAGGGAGGGGAGGAGCAAGTTGAATCTTCTGGTGCAGGAATTTTTCATTAGAGTTGGTATTAGATACTGGAATTCACATTTTTCTTTTAGAGTTTTGGTGTATTGCAAGTCCATCTATATTTCTGCTTAGTAGCATAAATTATGGCTATAGTAGCATGCATACTTACTATGTGTTAATCCTTAGATTTAATCATTAGCAATGCAGAAAAATATTTATGTATGTAAATGTATTTTCAACTGGATATTTGATTGCAGTTAGAGATTATATAATTAACAACTATACATGAAGATATAAAATTCCGTGTTCTTTTATATTGGCCATTTAGAATTTGATCATACCCATTCTCATTGAGATAATTGTGATGATGTAATCTTGTTGAAGGATTGTTCTGAGGAGAGGATTTGCACAGTAAATGAATACTAACATAAGAACCAAATCTGTGTAATTGTCATACCAGAGAAGGGTTTCAAAGTAATAATGACTATAAACATGCATTTAAATTTTTAAAAAAGCAACCCAATTGATAGACATTTTTTCACTGTCACTTAAAGGCAATATTTCATAATATATGGGGAGAAATACTTTTTAGAAGCGTGAGGTTGATGGCAACAAGTTTGGAGATCATCAGGCAGACTTAGAAATTTGACCTGCTGGCTAGACATGCAAACTTTAGGAGACCTTAGCAGTGGAAAAGAGCTAGAGGCAGAAAGAATACAGCTTTCTTTTGCTGAATGGGTACATTCATTGCCAGCAGTTATATGACCTTCAGGGCTTCTCTGGGAGGACAGTCCGAGTAGTACAGCATTTTTGCTGTTGGAAGAGACTTTTGGAAATAATGAAATAGATGGTGCACAAAATCCTGGGGGAAGCCAGCAATTTATGGAGGCATAATTGTATCCTATTCTCAAAACATATGTTGCAAGGGGCCAGTATCCATTTAACTTAGACTTGGAGCCACTCAAAGTAGGCTTTTATGGAGCAGATGTATTTGAGGCTATTCCTTTGAAAAGAACTATGTCCCTATGCAACTCTAGGGTTGATATGCGTGACTGATAAGCCTATATAAATGTCAATTCACAGGTTTATAAGCATAGGCCTCATTTGTTAGAAACAGCAAACACAACAATCAAATCTACTAATCAGTGTTGCTAAGAGAGTTTAGAAAATAAAATGAATACATACAAAGAAAGACTCAGGTGAAAGACTGGTAAAAGTTGTTGTAGAAATCAAAAGGGCTAAATTAAAAATATAAAGAATTTTAGTTTTATTTTTGTCTGAAGCTGATGTTTGCATGCATACCCAATTTTTAAGTCATCATCTTAAATTTCATAAACCATGGTTTAGAATTATGTTGTCTTGTTAATAGTCTTGTTAATAGTCAGTTTTATATTTGGATGTGTTTGCAGAACTCAGTTCAGATAGGTACTGTTGTTGCTACAAGTATTTAACTGTAGAACATACAGCATAGTAATACTCATTTATTTAGTATTTGTTGTTTTATTTATATCCCACTTTTATTATTTTTTTAAACAATGTTCAAGGCAATGAATATATCTTATGCTCCTTTCTTCCTCCTATTTTCCCCACAACAATCACCTTTTGATGTGAATTGGGCTGAGAGAAAGTGACTGGCCCGAGATCACCAGCTAGCTTTGATGACTAAGGCAGAATTAGAACTCATGGTCTCCCACTTTCTAGCCTGGTGTCTTAACCACTAGACAAAACTGGCTCTCAATATTGATGTATGCAAAGTGAAGTTTCCTTGGGACAAATGGATCTTAACTAGACTTTTGTAAGAGTTGGGGCTGAGGAAGGGATTCTGTGTAAATTGGCCCTTTACATATTGCTTTGTTTCAAAACTGAGACTATTTGCATGGACTGTATCCTTTATAACATTGACAGTACTTAGTTTGGTATTTTTGGCACACTAGCATTTAAAGCAAACACCAACCATTTTGGTTGCCGAAAGACTTGAGCCTCCTGTATTTACTAGCATGTATATGATTCAGCTCTGTGATATGAAGTTATTTCTACAGTTTAAGTACAGGAATTTGGTAGTTGAAGTTGAACAACCTGAGAGAACATGTAGTGAAGTCGAGATTTAAAAATGACACCCATTTCAAATAAAGCATACTGATTCATTTCACTTACCTTCAGTTGTGTTTTGTTGGGAAGCTCCATATTGCTAGTGGCTGTTCTGTAATTTGCAAAATGCCAAATCAGTAAATTTAAAGAAACCTAATGAGAGATGGAATAAAGGTTATATTAATAGGGAGTTTTATTCCCACACTTTTCTTCCTTGAACTCAGAGTGTACTTTATTTAGTTAGTCTAATGAAACTAATAATAATCTATTTTAATATAGCATTTCTTGGGAATATTTATCCAAAAATTTTTGCATTGCCCGCTTAAAGATTGTTAAGTGTAAATGTTAATATTATTATGTTTAGATTAAAAAATGAAAATGAATCCAAGAGGGGTGGTGATCAGCAAGGAGATCTTCCCTGAATATATCATTTCAAAACTACAAGCATCCACAAGTCTTCATCCTCAAATTACTTGTTCTGGCATGGATCCATGGAGGTATCAGCTCTGCTTCTAAAAATTATTTGAGATCTGTAGTCCGGGTTGCTTAAATATGTAGATAAAAATGAATTTCCACTTTCTTATGGGCATTAATACCAATCAATAAAATGCCCTGTGACTTGTAATATTTGTAGTTATTCAGGAAATATTAATGCTTCAAAATTATTTTATAAATAATTTGCTTTTAACTTCTGTTGAAGTATTCGTCTGTATTTCTGTTGATCGGGTAATTGTTTCTGTAGCTGGCAAATGCTCAGGAAATCCAGGCAGAAGATAGGTTGATATTATACTCTGAAATACCATGCAGGGGAAAACAATAGGAGAAGGAAACACTAGGAAAAAAGTGGGAGAGAGTCCCCCCCAAAACAAAACAAAACAATACTGTGCTCTACTCATCTCCAATACTGACCATTGTGGAACCATAGGATTGATGAGCTAGACACACACATTTTGCACGCCAGGTGAACTTAATGAAAAAACCTTTCAGTGATTGCTAATCCTTGAATGGTAGATTAGATATGTCTTTTTCTGATCTAACAGGATTTTTCATTTTATTTAGGTAAACATTTGAAATACAAACAGAAAAATATAGATGGAACTATTGAGATGGGCATTGTAGGTAGCTCTTGACTTATAATGTAATAGAGCCTGCCCATCTACATAGTTGCAAGTTATGACAGTTGTAAAGTGGATCACCATCTACAAGACCCATTTTTATTACCTTTTTGTAGCAGTTGTTCAACAAACACTGTGGTCATTAAGCAAATTCTTTATTTTTGCAAAAAAATAAAAGTAAACACAGCAAAAATGTTGTAAATTGTGATCATCTGACCATGGGATGCTGTAAACGAGTGTAAATGCAGGCCTGTTGTCAAGCACCCAAAATGTGGTCCTGTGACAGTGGGGAAGGGGCAGACTTCAGAATTGGGTCAAACAGTTACTAAGTGACCAGCCATAAGTCAAAGACTATTTATATATAAGCAACAACAAAAACAAGGTAAAGCATAATGAAGAGAATGAAGACAAGGACGAGGGGTGACATGATAGCAGTGTTCCAATATCTCAGGGGTTGCCACAAGGAAGAGGGAGCCAAGCTATTCTTCAAAGCACATGAAGGCAGGACAAGAAGCAACGGATGGAAACTAACCAAAGAGAAAAGCAACCTAGAACTACGGAGAAATTTCCTGAGAGTTAGAACAATCAATCAGTGGAACAATCTGCCTCCAGAAGTTGTGAATGCTCCAACACCAGAAGTTTTTAAGAGACTGGACAGCCATTTGTCTGAAATGGTAAGGTTTCCTGCCTGAGCAGGGGGCTGGATTAGATAACCTCCAAGGTTCCTTCCAACTTTTTATCATCATCATCATCATCATCATCATCATCATCATCATCATCATCATCATTATCTTCATAGAAATTGCTAGAAATTTGTGACAAAATGTTCGTTTGTTTCAATATCTAGCAATTTTAGCATCCTTGAAGAGGAACATTTCTATATTCTATATTTCTGCCCATTCTTAAGTTGGGCAGCTATATGTATACAGCTGCCCAACTTAAGTGAATAATTCTGAGTGATTAACAACAATACAAAGGTAAATCTTTGGGGCGGCAGATTTTCCTTTGAGCTTCAAGGTAGGTATTAGTAGTTCTTCTGAGTCTACATGAATATACTGTAGGTATGTGTGCAATGTGTTCACCTAATTGTAAGGGCATCCTTTTGCAGAGTTTATATTTGTAATTCTTTGTAGATGGAGTTTATAATGGGCAAAACAGATTTTCTGATTGCTTTCCAGTCCTGAATATTATCAAGAAATGTTTAATTATAAAAGCAAATTTGAGCATTTATGCATTTGTGAACTTCTAGATGCTGATATGTGGTCACATTCCACAACTTGCTGCATTTTGTCAATGAAGGAAGTCAAAACTTTAAGTATATTGGAAGGGACTGATTGCCAGAATTGCAAAATGTCATGCATACAGTTATCACAGAAGAAAGTATGCAGGTACAGTAGATTTCAGCAACAACTGTTGTCTTTTGACAGATGCATGCTTCAGTACAAAGTACATAATATATAAACTATGAATGTGCAGACAGAGAAGATAGTTTAGCCAAGATACAGTACACTGTATATTTAAAGCATGTTGAAATGTTCTGACAAACTCTTTTCTGAATTTGTCTGACATATTCAGAAAGGAGGATTAAGAAAGTAATAAATCTATTACTGTTTCTGCAGATTAAGCAGTTTTTTTAAAAAAAGACTATCATACAAGATTTTCTGATCATCTGTTTTCTTAAACATATTGATTGCAATACTGGTAATGAAATGCCAAGTAGGTAAATGTTTGTTCATTGTAATTTTCTAATTGTTCAGATTTTGTCATCTATCTATCTATCTATCTATCTATCTATCTATCTATCTATCTATCTATCTATTTATCTATCTATCTCCACATCCACATCCACATCCCTCCCTCCCTCCCTCCCTCCCTCTCTCTCTCTCTCTCTCTCTCTCTCTCTCTTTCTAGACAGTCAGACAAACAGATAGGTATGTAGGTAGGTATAATCTAGCTAGTTAATCTCAGGTAAGAAAGTAAATACTTTGCTTTCTTTTATCAAAACCTTTCCTCACATCTTAATCTGCTAAGCTGCTTCTTGCAATGTAGATAATACTACAGTACCTCTAAGCATTGTTCCTGCTGATCTTGTTTATGCTTTAAAAATCCCTGAATATCTCTTTTTAAGGGCTAGCTATTATGTATTAGGAATTATAAATTGCATTATATATGTGAAAACAGCAATTTCTTATGGTGTAAAGGTTTGATTTTGAAGTATAGGGAAGGGAACTGAGTATAGTAAAGACATGGTCCAATTTCTCAAACAGAGTTCAAGAGAATTTAAAGAAAGCACAATGTAAACAAGGTTGAAATGAAAATAATTATAGGATTGTGTAAAAGAAACATCTACCGAGAATATGGAAGAGTGTTCAGAATGCAAGCTTCCTTCTGTACCATTTCTTTTCCCAAGAGAAGATCTTTAAGATCTGCTAATATGTTATTTCTGTCATGACATTTGGTGTGTATCAGCGATAATTTAAGCATATTCATTATATTTGTATCTTTTTTCTTGAAGAATAGCAGTTCTCTCCACAATAATTATGTTATACTCTACCAATGATTATTTGGCAGCTTTTGTTAATGTCAGTATCTATCTATACTTCTGTTTATTTCCTTTTTATTCCCATGTAGATCCCACTACCTTCTTTGCCTTCTATTTAAATGTTTGTCCTCTGCATCTGGAGGGCTGTTCATGGAGAAACAGTGATATAAAAATAGCTAATATATATTCCTAGTTAACTTAAATAACATGAAAGGGGGTAAGATGGCTGCACAGGCCTTGAATTGCCAAATAACTGGAACCTGGAGATCTCTGAACAGTGAAGTTCTAGTTAGCCAACAGTGAGATTCTAATTAACCATTGTAGAGTAAAATATCATTCATTGCTCTGGACTGTTTATACTTACAATCTCATGCATGCATTTTTTTATTAAAAGTTTTATAAATTTATTACAATAGAAACTCCCCACCCCTCCCCCTTCCCCCACTTCCCAGAGCTGATTACAGGGTAAAACAAAATAATAAACAAATATAATCCAACTAACATAAACCAACTATACTATCAATCAAAACCATAAGATACTTTAACTCCTTCTCAATACAAATATTAACAAATTAAGTCAAAAATAATAATATAATTAAAACTATTAATAATTATCTAAAATCTACTCAAAAGCAAGATAATACTTTTCAACTTCATATTTCTTCTGAATATAATCAATCTATCTTCTCCTAACCATAATATATCTCTCTTGTGAATGGTCCTTCAAATAGGCGGAGATCTTCGCCATCTCTGCTAAATTAGACACTTTAAGTATCCATTCTTCCAAAGTAGGCAACAAATTTTTTTTCCAATATTGCCCCACCAATAATCTTGCAGCTGTTATAAGGTTCAACATCAAATTAGTTTCTTTAACATCAAAATCTATAGTAATACCCAACAAAAATAATTGCGGAGTAAACTTAATCTTTTTCTTAAAAATCTTTTGAATATTCCACCAAATCTTAATCCAAAAAGCTTTAATATCTTTACAAGTCCACCAAATGTGGAAATAGGTTGCGTCTAGGTTTCCACATCTCCAACATTTAGGCTGTAAATTCGGATACATGCGGGACAACTTTTGGGGATCCAAATGCCATTTATAAAACATTTTATAAAAATTTTCTCTCAAATTTTGCGCTTGAGTAAATTTTACATTTCTAACCCAAATTCATTGCTCTGGACTGTTTCTACTCACAATCTCATGCATGCATATTTTGATCCAAAGAAACATGACACATTCTCAGAAGTGGGCAACTTCATTCTCCTCCAGCAACACTCATATTTAGGGAGAAAGGGGATTTCTCTTTCAGCCAAATTGTCTGGCCTCTGTCCAAGCTTCAGAGGAAAAGAGGTTATTGATCTCATCTTATTCTTCTCAAAGGGATCTCCTTTCACTTTAGATCCAAATCTGTGGACCTAATGTTTGATTACTGTTCTGCAGTGGCTCTGATATCCCTTTGCCATCTCCTTGAACAATAAACCAACTTCTACAGAATTAATGTATTATAGGACTTGTTGTGTCCTGAGCCTGCAAAAGCAGGCTCGGGACATTGCATTGGTCCCTGGAATTCCAAAAGCTGCCCGGGACCAGACAGAGCGGCACCAGCCTTGTGTGCATGTGCAAGGTGCGAAAACGCTCTGTTCGCATGGGCTGACATTGTCCAGGGCTCTGGCCATATAAAAAGGCCTGCGTGCCTTTTGTTTGTGTTTGGGTGTTGTTAGAAGAAGAATAAAGAGCTGTTTAACATCGCCATGTGTCTTCATCATTCGCATGCAAACAAAGTACTTAACACTGGTGACGAAGGTGGAATCCTTTGCAAGCTGAAGAAAAACTTTAAGGACTTACCCAGGAAGTCCTGAAGAGGGGAAGATGGTGTCTGAATCAGCGTCCCAGCCTGCCAGTATAGCGTTGCTGGAGGGTGAGCTCAGCTAAAGGACCCTTTCCCCAATAGCAGTTTGCAGAGGAGCGAGTGGTGAAGGTCGTAATAGTATGATGGCGAAGATTGGCTGTTTGTCTGATTTTGATGTCTCACACCCAGAGAGATGGAATTCCTACATTGCAAGGGTGGAGAATTACTTCAGAGTAAATCCAATTAGAGAAGACGGCTTGAAGGCTGCAACTCTTTTGTGTGTCTGTGGACAGGAAGCTTTTGAAATCGCCGAGAATCTGGTGCCCCTGCACCTCTGGAGTCAGTAACATATACTGACTTGAAGAAAATGTTAAAGGAACACTTCCAGCCAAAGTTATCTGTTATTGCTTGGAGGCATGCATTCGAGCAGAGAGACCAGAGGCTGGGTGAATCTGCTGTGGATTTTATTGCGGCCTTAAGGCAAGCAGACCTTGTGAGTTCAAGGATCTAGAAGAGAGGCTGCGAGATCGCTTCGTATGCGGTTTAAGGAACAGAGACTTACAACAGAAGATTTTTGCAAAAGAAGATGTCTCTTTCCAAGACACGCTATGAGAGGTGACAGCTGAAGAAGCAGCAGGGGGAGCTGTGAAGGCCTTATGGCTCACCAAGAACCCTCCCGACACAGCCACCGTCCATCAAGAGGATGCTTGAGAAGGATCGGAAGCGGATCCTGAAGAAGAGGTGGATAGACTTCACCAGCCAGCTGAAAGGAGGCAGAAGGAATGTCCAGACAAGGCCCCAGCATCTCTTCAATGCTTCGGGTGCGGAGGAGGCCACAAGCGAGCTGACTGCAGGTTCCGCTCCACCATTTGCAGAGCGTGTGGCAGGCAAGGCCATATTGCATCCGTCTGTTTGGGTCGCCAGAAGATCCAACCCCGTGAAGAATTGAGTCTGAAAGGTACCAGGGTCCCCAGCCAACATAGGGTGGGTTTTGGCGCATCGCGCAGGAGTATTTTGACGACAGGGACACATAAGCCCCTTAAGAAGAAACTGTCCATTAACGTAAGGTTGCAAGGCGGTTCCCTTATCAATGGAATTGGACACTGGGTCCGCTCTTCCATTATTTCTATTATTCAAAAGGATATGCAGCAGCAGTGGCCTTCGAGTTAAACTCAGGCCATCCAATCTAATACTTACAGATTTTTAGAATTCTATGGTGTGTGTTAAGAGGGAGGCCACCCTTAGAGTACAGCATAAGGATTTTGAGGGTCCCCTAGATGTGGTGGTTGTTGGGGGTGAATGTACGAGTCTTATTGGACTTGATTGGTTCGAGGTTCTGGGAATCCAGGTAACTGGGCTGCATCATTTGCAAACGTTGAGCCTTGCAGAAGTCTGCAAGGAGTTTGCAGATGTGTTTAGTTCAGAGCTAGGATCCTACAAGGGGCCTCCAATTTCGCTACGGTTAGATCCAACCCTCACGCCCATCAGGGTTAAGCCTAGGAGGGTACCTTTTGCCCTCAAAGGCAAGACTGATGCTGAGCTGGACAAATTGCTCCAGCAGGGCATTCTAGAACCTGTGGATTCAAGTCCATGTGAAACCCGCATTGTAATGCCTCTAAAGGCTAATGAGGACATACGTATATGTGCAGACTACAAGTGCACACTGAATAAGGTGCTGCAACAGCATGCTTATCCAGTGCCTCTGGTAAGTCACATTCAAGGGGGGGGGCGTATTTTTGCAAAGGTTGACCTGGCACAGGCCTATCAACAGCTACCTATTGATGAGGCAGCTGCAGAGGCCCAGACTATTGTAACTCACAGGGGGGCTTTCAAGCTCAAGAGACTGCAATTTAGGGTAAATGTAGCCCCTGGCATATTCCAAAGTGTCATTGAGAGCACACTTCGAGGTATTCCTGGGGTCTGTCCCTACTTTGATGATGTCCTCATTGCTGGGGAGTCATCTCAAAATTTAGCAGAGAGATTAAGGGCTGTCTTG